CCCCCCCCCCCCCATGTTGCATGCAACAAGCTGAGAGCAGCTGTCCAGCGGTCATGTTATGAACGTATTTGCGAATTTTTCCAAGGGGATTTGAGGGCTTATAGAGGCCAGCAAAACATGTGCACACACATCTCGTCGCCAGTCAGTCTGGGAGGCCCAGGGCCTTTCTCGGCTCGCAGTCAAAGTCATCGAGCACACTCGGCTGTTCTCGGTCATCCAGCTCCATCACCTGACACACAGACAAAGGGACAGACAGACAGACATACGCAACACACTCAGAAAGTCCATCCACAACTGTCCTGTACCTGTGTGTGGCCCCTCCTCTCTCCCTGACTGACTGACTGACTGACTGACCTGCTGCACGAGTTGTGCTGCGAAGTCCTCGCCCTTGACACGCCGGTACTCGTATTGCCCACCGTCGTCATAGTACATGTAATCTATCGACACGGCACTGTCGCCCCGCACCACACCGAACCAGTCATTGCGGTTCTCGGCGTCCCGCACCTCATTCTTGGGCAAAGACACCACCAGCTCCCTCTCTCCCCCCTCACCCTCATCAAACACCCACAAGGTCTCATCGGGGTCGGTGCGGCCACGCAGCGGACCCCTCAGCAAAGGTCGTCCCTTGAGTGAGAGGTTGATACTCGTGGTGGTCGTCTTGAGCGACACATCGGCCGGCTGGACGGCGGGGTGGCCGTCGAGGGGAAAGTGCACATCGATCTTGACGTTGTCCTCAACCCAGTGGTAGCCACCGACGGATGCACGGCCCTTGCCCGCAGCCAGTGGCAATGACGATGGTCGTCTTCTGAACGAGGCGGACAAAGGCCGAGATGGCAGGATGAAAGAGGGGACGGTGATAGCACGGCGCAGTGGCGACGGAGCAGCAGCTGCTGCTGCGGAGATGAGCGCCGCTAGATGGGTCAGAGCTGCGCAGCAGCATGAAAACTGCCAACTGTGCATTCGACGTCGATGATGCGGCATGCGCATCGCCATGTTGCTCTGGCAGCAGCCGAGAAAGATCTTTCCTCCAGCAGGTCAGCCTGCAAGCTGGGCTCGCACACGGGATCGGGGGAGAGAAAGCAAGGGAAGCGACGCAGTGCTTGTTCCTGACTGGATCTTCATCAGCCCAACCCGTCCTGGCCGAAAACTACTCATGATCACGACGAGGACTCTCATATCCTTTGCCCTTCTGGCGTCCCTCGCCCTCGTCCGCGGCACGTTATCGATTGGCCACGACCACCATCCCTTCCTGAATGCTGATCTCGCTCTGCCAAGGCCGCAACTCACATCGTCTTCTCGCAATGAAGCACGCACCAAGATGCCGATGGCCGCCTCAGACACCAAGATGGAGCCGGCCGCGACGTTGGCGACTCATCATCCAGCCCATTCCGAAGCCACACCTGCTGCAAGGCGAATCAGCAGCCCAGATCTCGACCAGCTTTCCGCGGATCTGGGCTTGTTTCGGCACCCAGCAGTGGCGCTGGGCGAGTTTGCCATGGCCGAGGGTGCGGTGCGCGGCCTTATTGCGACGGATACGGTCAAGGCCGGCGAGATCATGCTGGGCGTGCCCAAGTACCAGACGCTGGAGGCTCTCTCGTCGACGAGCAAGGGCGCCAGGGCGGACGCCAATCCGTTCCCCTTCCTGTCTGACGGCTACTGTGGCGAGGCACCGTGGGACGTGCGGATGGCTCTGACGCTCCTCTATGAGAAGAGGCAGGGAGAGGCGTCGGACTTCAGCAGCTGGATCAGCCTGCTGCCCAAGAGCGGCCAGACCACCGTGCCCTTCTTCTGGCAGGAGAGCGAGATCGCCGCTTTGCAGTGCCCCTACATTCAGCAGCGGCTCCGCGCACAGCAGCAGAAGTGGAGAGATGGGTATCGGAAGCTGAGGGCTGCCATGCTGGAGGCGAGAGCGGCGGGCAGAGAGACTGTCGACATCTCAGAGGATGACTTCTTCTGGGCTCTGGACGTGGTGCGGTCGCGTAGTATCGCCACTTCAGAGGCCCTCTACGACTTTCGCTTTCTGCCATCGGTGGTCGGCTTCTCGGTGGCCGAGAAGCTGCTGTCTTCTGTGTTGGATACACCTGAGTGGCTCTCGGTTGGCCTCAACACACTCGCCGCAATCTTCTTCTCAATCTTTGTAGGCCAGGGGGGCCCACCATACTGTGTGTGCCTTGGCGTAATCACGCTCCGTCTGTGTGTGTGTTTGCAGGCTTGGAATGCTTGGCGAGTGTTCCAGCGTCAGGGCGGGAGTCGCTTCCTCATCCCAGGCATCGATCTCTTGAACCACTCCTCACACACAGAGGCAAGCCGACGTCTGCCTATACTGACTGACACGCTGCTGGCAGACAGACAGACAGACAGACAGGCAAAGGGCCGTCCTCAGCAGTGGGTGATATCGCGTGTCCGGCTGCCCGCAGACAACTGTCGAATTCAATGGTCTGATGGGTCAATTCGAAGTGCCCGCCGCCGAAGGCAAGTCTCCCAACGAACAGATCTGCCTCAAGTCAGTGACAGTGAAGTGAATCAATCAGCCACAAAAATCACTCACTCTACTCTACGGGTCTTTTTGTGTGTGTGGGTGCATGTAGCTACGGTGCGCGGAGCAACGACCAGCTGCTGCAGCAATACGGCTTCATTGAGGAGGGCAATCCGCACGACACCTACGTCATCGACATCATCAAAACCCTCCGAGACCCCCAGTGCATCAGCCAACTGAGAGCCATGGCCGCAAACAATGGCGATGATGAGTTCTTCGCCACTAAGGACGACGGGTCCGAGCGGCTGGCGGAGAGGCTGCTGAAGCGGCTGCAGCAGCTGCAGCAGCAGGGATACGTCGACATGCTCAGGACGGTCAGCAGGAGAGGGACAAATATCCATTCATCCATATCCATCGTGGGATGGATTGTTGTGTGTGCAGTTGGTGATAGAGAGGCGTGTGGGTGGGAGGGCGTGTTTCGACAGCGGGTCGCAGCAGCTCATTCGCTTCCTCGTCGCACACGGAGACCAAGAAACAAACCTGCCGCTTCAGGCACGCAAACAAACAAGGAGGCAGCCACCCTCTCTCTCTCCCTGTGTGTGTGCGTCTGTTTCAATGGCTTTCTTTCATCCAGAGGTTCGGTGAGGAGGTGTCTGAGTCCAACGAGCGGAGAGCATCGGTGGTGCTGCGGGCTGCAGCGGCCACGGAGCTGTCCAAGCTGCCCACCACACTCGAGCAAGACCTGACGGAGCTCGATGCCGGTGCGTCAGGGAGTCAAAACATCCGGGCGATATCGACCCGCAGTGAGCCGAGGGCGAGTCAACGTGAGAGGCTGGCCGTGAGGTACCGAGTTGAGAAGAAGCGGCTCCTCAGGGAAGCAACTTCGTGAGGGGGAATGGGATGCACCTGTGGATGGATGGATGGATGGATGGATGTGATTGGCTTATCGGTCTCGCACATGCGAGGGAGGAAGGAAGGGATGGATGAGTGCATGTGATGTGAGCTGTGCCTCTGGAGAAGAATTTGGTTCATTCGGTGTGCCCTCTGTCTGTCTGTCTGTGTGTCTGTCTGATTGCGGTGCGCAAACGGAGCCCTTCGATTGATGTCTAAGGAACTCATGTAGGCGTGGGTAAGCGAAAACCTGTGTGGGTGTACGAGTGAGTGTATGGGCCCTCGATCTTCCTCACCGTTCAATGGCCGGCCGGCTGCACACATCGCACTGAAATCCATTTTCACCGCCATACACACGAATTATGTGAGGCGGTTGAAAGCAGTCGGTCGGTCCATCATGGCGTCCGCTCAGTCATTCGCGCGCACACACACACACACAAACACACGTCTGTCTGTCTGTCTGTCTGTTGTCTGAAGGAATGCGGGTCGTCGGGTGGCTCACAGCACCAGCGCAGCGACGGCAGACAATATCACTGCCGCCAGCAGCCACTGGATGATGGTCAGCAAAATGCCCCCTGCACACACACACAAGTCATACCCACCGACGCACACAAACCGGTCAGTCACTTGTGCTCACTGGCCCACTCACGTGTGCGTTTAAATGTCTCAGAGGAGCAGTTTGGTGTCTCGTCGGCGTCAGGCTGCTGCTCGGCAGTGACCATTGGCGCCATCCTGATGCTCACGGGCTGCTGCTGCTGCTGCTGTTGCTGCTGCTGTTGCTGTTGCAGGTGTCTCTCCCTCTCCGCCCTCTCCCTCTCTGTCCTCTCCCACTCCGCCTGTCTCTCATTCACCATGCCCCTCATCTGCAGGAGGGTGAAGTCCAGCCAGGCCGCCAGCAGCGCCGCCTGACCCTCTCCATGTCCCTGCACACGCCCCTCCCCGCCACCACCCTGTTTGATCCCCCCATTCCTGTGGCTGGGCGGCAGTGGCGGACGGCCAACCGAAGGCCGCCGCGTGACGCTGCGATGGGCCGGCTGCTGCAGTTGCTGCTGACTGGTGGTGGTGGTGGTGGTGCGGGTGGTGCGGGTGGCCAGCGTGTAAGTGAGTACGATGTAGAATGCCTCATGCATGAGGACCTGTCTCATCTTGCGGATGAACTCGGCCAACGGTCTCACCCCCACATGCCACGGGATGGAGTTGGTGCTGCTGGGCGGGGAGGGGGACGATGGGGCCCTGATCTCTCTGTCGTTGGCTGCTGGATCAGGTGTGACGGGCAGTGCAAGGGGCGGGACGGTGGGATGAGGACGGGATGACGCATGGCCAAGTGGGTGGATGCGGGCGCTGAGTGGGGCGGACGGGCATACATGCTGGGAGTCGTTGCAATTGTCGTCTTGAGACCGCTGGCACACACGTAGCTGCGCCTTGAGCTGCACGATCGACTCATCCTTCTCACGCAGAGTCCTGACACAGACACACAAAGGCACATGTACCACATCATGAGAAAGGCGACTGCGTGTTGGGCGGGCTGGGTGTGTTTGCTGACCGTCGGAGCTGTGCAATGGCCTCATCGCTCTCCGCGGCGGCCTCGAGACTGCGCTGCACCTCCCCCTTCAACTGCACACAGACATCAACACACACGAATAGATGCGAAGCGAACAACATTCGCAAAGATGTGGTACGCAATTACATGTGCGATTTCCTGTTCAGAATGCTTGATTCTGGCCGCCTGCCGCTCACACGCCTCGCGACCTGTGAACTCCTCCGAATACAAATCCTCCAACTCTCTGGACGTCCGAGACACACGCTGGACCCCCCACACACAAATATATGTACATGGGTGCGGGCGCGGGTGCGATGGGATTGCGGTCGCCTTACGTCCTTGAGTGAGGCGATTTCCCGGTCTTTCGTCTCTTCCCGACGGCGCATGGCAGCCAACTCATCCTGAACACACAAGACACATAGGGACGTTGGGTGGGAGGCGGAGCGTGTTTGTGGAGAGGCTGCTGTCGTCGCCTACGTGGAGGCGTTGCTGCATGGTGACCTTGTTCCGGATGACACTGCAGGCGGACTTGATCGACGACACCATGCAACGCACCATCCCTTCAACGTCACATATATGCACACACACCCATGTCATCCATCCGTTGTATGTCAGCACGTGCCCACCCACCTTCGATCTCGTGCCCGGCCCGGTTGGGCACCATCGGCTCACCATCCCCCTTGTAAACGTAGTCCTGCACCTCGCCAATCGCCGTTTGCACTGCACACCAAGATACACAGAGAGAGGATCCATGCCATGCGGGGCTTTTCGTCCATTGTATCTATCGTGCTGCTTGCCGAAGTTGACGGCGCGGTTCTCCTCCCGTTGGCATATTGTGTCGAGATGCTCCAACATGATCTGCAGGTTGGTCTCCGCGGAACTCGATGCCACCATACCTGCTACAGACAGACAACACAACGCACAGTACCGTGCTGCAGTGAGGTGACAGCATATCCACCCACACCAACAGGCGGGCGACTGTGGTACCGACCATATTCTGCTGCATTGGCGCTGGCACTCGTGTGTGTGAGGTCGCTACCGCTGCTGCTGTCCCCCTCTGCGATTCCCATCGACTCGCGAGACGAAGTTGACACACCCAGCACGCCGTCCGACTCGTATGCTCCACCGTCACCACCACTGGTACGGGCACCACCAAACGGCACGACAACTGCAGGCGCCGCTGCCGCACTGCTCAACGCTCGAACCAAATCATCGAAATCTGACAATTAACAATGGCCATCCAGAAGCGGGAGCATGACAACATCACATGCCATGCCTGTCGGTGCGCATGTGCTGTTGTACCAGACATACATACCAGTGGTGAGTCCTCGATTGGGTGTGCCCCTGCGAGGTGGCGATCTGCGTGAGGGTGACGATACGGCTCTGAGTGTGGTGCGTGCGGTAGGGGGTGAGTTGGAGCTGTCGGGGGACGAAGGGGGGCGCTCGCGGGGCGACGGCAGATGAACCGCACCCGCCTGAAAAAGAGATACATCGTGACCATCACTGCATCCATATCCATCCATCCGTCAACAGAGATGCGTGACGGTCCTTCCGTCTTCCCTGTGTGTGTCGGCGTCGGCTCACCTGTGCCATGGAGTTGACGGACCAGGGGGGCAGACCTGTGTGGGCAGCAACGACCAAAGGGCGGATGGATGGGTGGATTCGCCTTCTTCCTTCTGTCCTGCGTATGTATTGCTCACCGAGAGCCTGTTTGAGTTTGTCCAGCGGCAGGGAGTGGGCAACGCCTGCACGCTGGAGGCCCTCCAGAGTTATCCAGCCATTCTCGTCCTGGCGCAAGGGTGGAATGCATCAAATCCGGGAGCCATATCGGTGGCACATATGTATTGTTGTGCGCTTACCGCGTATTGTTGTAGGACGGACGGCCAGTCTATCAACGCATCCTCACCTCCTGGTGAACCCATGTTAGTCGTAGGGAACAAAACCTTCCCTGCGGATGGTAAATTGTAAAAATGGGCTAGGGGGGATTGCGAGACGCCTACGAAGCAAAATAAATTCGGTAGATGGGGCTTTCCGGAGTGCCAAAAACAAAGCAAAAAACGCCCGCATGTGGAGCGGAATGGCGCTTCCTCTCGCTGCTGATGCCCATCCCCACCGCTTTCGCGGTGGAGGTCAGCGCCCCTCCCACTCACGCACGCACACGGAAACTTGGGGAGGGGGATCTGATGGAATTTCGGTTGATTACGAAGTCGCGTGCGCCATGAACGACATCAGAATCAGATATTGCCACCAGCCCGCTGCACGAATGCCGGTGGTCTCAATACTTCTCTCTACTGACGAGACTGAGGCGTATGCGACCGGGGGATGGCATGTCTCTCCACGCCCCCTGCTCGCGCACACCACACACCACACCCACGCATGTCAGTTGACATACATACAACGCAGTCATTGTGAGAGAGAAAGACACACACAAACCCACGCAGCCTCGTGACGCCTTCCGGGAAAAGTAGCTTGGCCACAAAGCGGCCGGCGACCGACACAGACACAGACACATTCGAACAGACAGACACAACATTATTACACTAACAACAGATAACCGAGAAAAAGGCCACACGCACGCATGGCCGCCGACTCGCTCACAGAGCTGCCGGCGGCCTGCGTCGACTACACCAAGGATAAAATTCCTGGATGGATGGATGGATGGGCAGACCTGCACAAGAGCTAGACGAAGGCTGATAGCCCCGTGACGAGTCTGCCGGCGATGAGCATGTTGACGTCGTACGTGCCCTCGTAGGTGTAGATGGCCTCCAGGTCCATGAGGGGCTTGATGGTGCCGAAGTCGGATATGATGCCGTTGCCCCCCACGACCTCCCGGCACAGCGCCACGGCCTCGCGGGCGGTGCGGGTCACCCAGGCCTTGGCCAACGCTATCTGGGCCATCGTAGCCTGGCCCTGCACACACACACACAAATGGCATTCATTTGGTCGGTCGGTCGATCTGTCTGTCTGTCTGTCTGTGGATGACTTTGTTGTGTTGGTGTGGTTGTGTGGGTGCTGTGCTGTGCTGGCTGACCTCGTCCATCATGCGACCGAGGCGAATCACCGTCAGAATGGAGGCCTGCACGCACCACACACAGAGAGAGCGAGAGCGAATGAGAGGTTTCTGTCCTGTGTCCGTTCGTCTGTCCACCCATTGATTGATTGCTTGCCTGTAGGTGTCCGAGTGCGCGCATGAGTCTCTCCTGGACGAGTTGGAAGGACGCCAGGGGCTTGTTGAACTGGGTGCGGTCCATGCAGTACTGCAGCGCTCGCTCATACGCACCTGCACACACGCAGAGCGCACAGCCGACATACACATGCGCCGGCACCAAAGTGCTCTATCTCTCTCTTGTCGTGGTCGCCATCGGCCGATCGACCGACCGAAGGGCTCACTCACCGAGGAGGCAGCCCGCCGCGCTCGCCGCCACTACAGCCCGCGACGACTCCAACACCATCTGAGTACCATCTGCCGCACACGCAAGGCAAGCAGCACACGTCTCCTTTGCAGATCGATCACACTCGTGAGGCCCGCGCAGGCTGAGGTGACTGACTGACTGACGCACCTGAGAACTTTTTGGCGGCCGAGAGGTGGTTGTCCTCTGGGACGAAGCACTCGTCCAGAACGAAGTCGGCGTTCTGGACGATCCGCAGCGACATCTTGTTGTCGATCTTGTGTGGCTTGAAGCCCTTCATGCCCTTCTCCACCACGAAGCCCTTGATGGCGTTGCTCGCCGTGTCGCGCGCCCACACCACGATGATGTCGCAGAAGGTCGCATTGCCGATCCAACGCTTGTGCCCGTTCAGCACCCAGCCGCCGGGCACTTTCCGAGCTGCACGACAGTGAGTTGAGTGACAACAAGCCCACAGTGACTCAGGAACGTGGAATAGTCCACAGTGACGGGCGTGTGTGCTCACCAGTTGTCTGCAGGCCAGTGGCGTTGCTGCCGTAGTCAGGCTCGGTGAGGCCGAAGGCGCCGATGAGCTCGTACCTGGCCATGCGTGGCAGCCACCTGGCCTTCTGCTCGGGCGTGCCTGCGACATTGATGGAGGCCATTGCGAGTCCGCTGTGCACCAGGTAGAAGGTGGCGAACGACGCGTCGAGGCGGCCCAGTTCTATGGCCAGCACCAGCGTCTCACTCTGAGTCAGACCAGGGCAACCTGACTCAATCAACACAGACAGACAGGGAGGCAGGCAGACAGAAAGACAGAATGGGCGTACAGACTGACACGCCTTATTCCCTCCTTGCCCCCCTCACCGTTGCCCTTGATCTGCAGTCCGGCGGGTCCCAGTTGTTTGGCGAGGTCCACGAGGGCGGGCGAGAACTCCGCCCTCTCATAGAGCTCGTTGAGCAGCTTGTCGTCCCGCCCCTCCTCCAGCACACGCCTGGCCCTCTGCCGCAAAGACCGCTCCCCGGCGCTAAGCATGGCGTCGAGCTGCATGAACTGCAGGGGGTCCACCAGGGCGCTCTTGCGACCACTGCGTGTGGGAGATGAGGGCGTGGTGCTCGTGGCGGGAGCTGGCTGCGCCGAGGAAGACAGGTGGCCGCTTATCACGCTCAGACGGTCCATGATCACAGCGAGAAGCGAAAAATTGAGGCGATACAGATAAGACGAGTGAAGCAAAAGATATGGAGGTGCTTTGGGCGGTGCCCCTCCCTTCCTTATTTGTGAGCTTGCATGTCGCCATCGCCGCCTAGGGTGCTACCTGAAACCGCTGCTGCTGTGGAGATCAGGGAGGCCTCGCGATGTCTGATGGCCCTAGCTGCCTTGACGGATGCAGTAGTGGGTTGCCTCCCTCATCAGTCTGTCTGCGGTAGAAGATGATGCAAGAGAACCACCACCTCAAGTTCTTCGAGAGCATCGACCTCCTCACCTTGCTGGGCTCCTTCCTGCGCTTCAGGGACATGCTCATCCTGCTGCGACTGTCCAAAGGTGACACGACACATGACTGACGGACGCAACACGACTGCTCACTGACAGCTGATGTGCATTTGATGATGGATTCTCGTGTGTGGGTGTTTGTGTTGTGTAATTCCATCCATCAGGGCTCAAGCAGCATGACACCGACGCGTTCTGGAAGGCCTTCTTTGCCCACAAGTGGGCAGCGCGGTGTGGCCTGATGGACGGCACCGAAGTGGCCGAAAGGGTCAAGCCCACGGCCCTGTCAGTGGCGCGGTTCTTGAGGTCTCGCAAGGGCGGGAGGAAGGGATCCTCGGCCGCACTGTGCGTGCCTAAGGCCGATAGGCCGTGGAAGATGGCCAGGTGAGGGAGGGAGGGAGGGAGGGAGGGAATGGCCAAGGGACGCATGCGTGTCGCGCTGCATGCATCTCTTCTCTTGCTGCTTGCCTGTCTGCCTGTCTGTCTGTCTGCCTGTCTGTCTGTCAGCTACATCAACACAGTGGGACAGACCTGTGTGCCGCCTTTGCAGCTGCTGCGGACCTGCCGGCTGTGCAGCCCCCCGCTGCTCGACATCTGCCATGACGTCACCCTCTACGGCTCGCCTTTGTCCCTCCATCTGACCTTCTCGGGCTCGATGCACCCCAACCAGTCGCTGCCCTCATGGATAGCACCCTGCTCACGGTGCGGCGACGCCATGATGGTCCACAGACACTGCGCCGAGCGGGCGTGCCACACCTCTGAGGTGCGGGCTCGGTGCCAACGTCACGCGCCCGCGTGTGAGGCGTGCCAGACGCCGTTCCAGGTGACGGACCGGTTTCCCACCTGCCCCTATGAGCTGTGCAAGGAGACGTGGCGGGACCGGCACTGGCTGCTGCTGCGGCTGATGCTCATCTGGCTGCCCCTCTTTGCCCTTTTCACTATGCTCGTGGCCATGGTGGAGAACCTGGGGGCGGATGGACGGCACGAGGGCAGGTGGAAGATGCCGGAGGTGCCCATACTCGGCTTCTGTGCCGTCATTAGCGTCCTGGTCAGCTATCCACAAATCAGGAGAGTCGTTCATCGCATTGATTGCACTCATACAGATTTGAGTCCTGCGCCCGTGTGTGCGTGTGTGCGTGTGTGTTCAGTGGTGGGTGTTTTTCTCGCCGCGTTTTCGTCTGGCCGTGCGGTGGTGGAGCGCGTGGACATGGAACCTCTACATCGCCCTGTACATCCTCTTCCTCTGCAGCACTGCGTTCTTTCTCCTCTCCTTCGTGCACATTCCATCCATGAAGGCCGCCAACGCCGATGTCGGTGTCGGTGTCCGTCTATCGGCCGCCATGCCCCCGTCGACACCACCCACCAGCCCAACCGAGATGGGCAGCTGCTGGGAGGAATCGGGCAGCAGTGGGCCCACTCGTGTGCTGCGAGGCTCGGCTGCCATTCACCAGCATCGGCCGTTACTTGGGCTGACGACCAGCGGCAGGCGTGAGAGGGGAGGGCTGGCGACGGTGGTTGACGGCTCTCTGCACCAGCCCAACCAGACGACCGTCATCGACTGGTTTGAGGTGTTGCACGAGCTGCACTTGCTGATCCGGCGTCACTCGTTTCTGCGGTTCCTGGCGGGTCTGAACGCCCTGCTGTTCGTGGGCGGCAGCTTTACGGTCATCGGCATGTTCTGGCTCACCTCATACCGAATACGCACTGTCAGGGTGAGTCAATCAGCACTTGACCAGCAGATGCCTTACTGTCTTGTGTGTCTGTGATGTGGGCATCATGACATCAGGACATGCAGCGGCGGTCTCTCGTCCACCACATCCACCTGCCTGTGTCAGCCCTCGACACGCCACCCTCCCACACACCTGCCAGCCCACCCAGGGCCAGACGAAAGAAGGGGACACCGGCAAGGCAGCCCCGGCCCGTCCAATCTCAGGAGCCGCAGCGGCCGTCCCTCCACCATTCTTCACCCACCACACGCATCCAGGAGGCCAGGCCATCAACAAAAGACCGCCAAGACCAGCACCACCACCAGCAGCAGTTGCACGTGCCGGCAAGCCAGTCGGCTGCCAGCGACGCCTCGTCATTGTCTGCCGGGCGGGAGGAGCAGTCGTCGATATGGCAGCGGGGCATGGGGGCGTTCCGGCGGCTGCAGACGACTTTCGTGACGCCCCTCATGCAGGGATGGTTTGACGTTATGGACGTGCCCTTCGAGTTCGTTGGCAGCGACAACCTCAATCGCACCACACTCTTGACCGCACAAGCATCACCCAGCACCGCAGGTGGCCCGCCCTCGCCAACCCACCGGCCCACCTCGCCCTCTCGCACAAGCAAGACCAGGGAGCAGCCACGCCAACAGCCACGAGCGACAAACCTCAGTGACGCGTCATCCGAGACATCGGCGAGCGCCTCGTCGGAGGGGTCGCTGCACGAGGGATACCGAACCAGCACCTCCACCGCGACAGCGCAACAGCGCTCAGCCCGCAGAGCGTCGGCGCGTCAGGCCAGGGCCCCTTCCCCGCTGCAGTTGTCTCGCGAGCGGTCCCTCACATATCCGTCTGAGCAGTCTGGGGGTCGGGAAGAGAGAGAGAGAGGGCGTGTGTGTGTGAGAGCGAGGGGGTCGTCTTCGAGGACCAGTGAGAGGCGCGATGAGGGGGACGGGTGGGTGAAGTCGGATGAATGCCCTTTCTGTGCGCTGGGCATATGCCTGCAAAACCATCTCAGATAGCTAGCGGATGATTACACTTAAGGGGTTATGGTGTGGTGTTTGAGGGGCAGATAGATAGACAGACAGGCAGGCCGGAGGTATTTGTTGGTGAGCGAGGGAGTGAGTGAGTGAGTGGTCGTGCTTATTGCTCATACGCCAGTGGATGAGACCATGCTGCGGGCATACATATACATTCCGTCAAGTGACGATTGCTGGATGTCTCTCGCGTCTTCATGGACGTTTGCCTGTCATGCGATCTGGCCCACGTGTGGATCAGGACTCGCATGCTCAAACGCCAAAAGGCCCGGCGAACCCTTCCAGTTTCAGATCGAGACGGATGGACGTATGGCCGTCGATCGCATTCGCCACACTGGGGGAGACAATGTACAGGCAGCTAGAGGTAGGTACCTGCAGCAGGACGCCTGTCGGCACGCGCACACATCACTCACAGTGCCCATGTGTGTATGTATGTGTGTGTGTCTGGCTGAGAGCAGGCGACGGCCGTGAAGCCCGACCTCGACTTTCGAATGCACAGATACCGATACAAACGGCCGTCCATCCATTCATCTGTGAGCGCATTCACTTGATGCGTACCTTCCTTCGCAGGAAACAAGCCGCCATCACACAGTGTAGTGAGTAGGCATTGCATTCAACAGGGCGGCTCTGCTGGACTGCACACATACCTGTGTGTGTATTTGTGGGCAGGGAGCTGCAGGCATCCATCGTTTATCCTATCGTGGATGAGATCGCCGAGAGAGAGGGGCTGACTGTGGCGGTGAGTCTGCGCTTAAGTACACGTGCCTGTCTGTCTATCTGTCTGTTTGTGTCTCTGTGTAGCCTGACGGGCTGCAGATCACCATCGACACGGTGCAGTGCAGCAAGACATCAAGAAGCTCAAGCTTGTGGTCGGTCCGCACACGCCTAAGAAAGAATACCCCCCCCCCCACACACACACACACGCATGTGTGTGTGTGTATTTCAATCTGCAGGACTCCCGAGTGCAGTCGAAGCTCGAGGCAATGCTCGTGGCACAGCGGGTCATCGACTGGATCGTAGAGAGGTCCGTGACACCCACCACAGACGAAGGTAATCGTGGCATCCATCCATCCATTTGTGCTGACTGCAGGTCGTCGATCAGCTGGGTTGACGAGGCCGAACTGTATGGCGGCAATCTCGACGACAGGCTCATGCGCCAGACGGAAGCCACCACGCCCACAACCAACACGGAGACAAACACCCACAACGCCCCTACTGCTGCTGAGGTACAAACGTTCCTGACAGACACACACTGTGTGCGCTGACAGCCCGGTGAATGCGTGCCGTGCATCCCTGAACGTGTGCAGCAATATGTCGAGCGAGGCTGTTCTGGCCCGGCGGGCGCGGTGCAGCGGACCATGAGCTGTGTCCGGTGATGTGATCGATCATTGTGTCGGTACTGCACTGTGCACATGGAGACTGTCTCGTGTGGGGACTGAACTGTACACCACTTACGGGCCTGTTGGGTGCAGGGGTGGGTGTGTGGAGGTGTCAAGACCTCATGTGCATCGATTTAACCGATTGATTGCCTGTCGTCTCGTTTGATTGCTTCAGCACATCCGTATCGATCATGCATCTTAAGAGTCCTTCGGATCGATCGAGACGGTCAGTGTTCCGTTCGCATGTTCCCCTTCCCCCTCTCTCTTCCCTTTGCCCCTCTCTCCTCTCCGGCAAAAATGAAAAAAAAAGAAACAAACAACACAAAAGAAAAGAAAAGAGACCGAGGTCGTGACGCATCCATCCATCCGTTGGAGGACAATTCACTGAGTGAGACACAGCCAGCCAGGAAAACCTCTCTCTCTGTGTGTCTCTCACTCTGTCTCCCTCTCTGTTACAGTCTGTGTGTGTGTATGTATGTGTATGTGTGTATCTGTGGAGCTAGCCTACGAATTGAATTTCTTGACACTTGTTGATGTTCGCCATGATCCCTCCGATCTCCGCCTCGTTGTACCTCTCCGCCAAGTCCCACGGCGTCTTCCCCTGCCGTCATGAGATGCGATAAGCACAAGACTCAAACCATCGATGGTGTGAATGTCTGTGTGTACTGACGTCGTTGTCTTCGATGTCGAGCAGTTCGGGATACCACTTGAGCCTTTGAGACAGACACACAGAGAGACCGAGAGAGATTGGATGAGACATTCGCGTCAGTCAGTCATCTGTGTCGCTCACAGCTGAGACACAGCTGCAGAGTTGCCATGGCGCGCAGCCCCCCATACAGCCCAATGGAGTGCCGTCCAGTTGTCCTGTGTGTGTCATGCAGACAGGCAAAGGCAATCAGACAGATGAGAGGCATTCTGTGTTTCTGTTTCGCGAATGAGGTCTCACATTGTTCGTCTGTTTGAGAAGCTCTTCCCCTCCTTTGGCATACAAAACCTCCATCACCTCGACATGACCACCGAAGGCAGCCCCCATGAGTGGCGTGTTGTCATACTGCAATCAACGCACACACACACAGTTGGCACACTGAGGTGTCAGAGACGTGTGTGTGCTCTGTCACCTTGTCAGCTGCATCGATCAGTTTGGGATTCCACTCCAGCAGCTGATCGACCGCCGCAACATGACCATCGTAGGCAGCGAGGTGCAGGGCATTCTTTTTATCCTGCATTGCATCACAGCCAACACACACATCGCTCCTCATCACTCACCAGCAGCACAGATCATTCTTTGTCTGTGTCGGTACCGCGTACGTCTGTTGTTTGCTGCAGCACGTCAGATTTGCTCTCATGGATGGCTTTCATGACGCCCACGTGACCCTTCTCAGCAGCATCGAGGAACGGTGTCCTCTGCGCGCATTGATGAGAACACACAGACAGACCACTGAGCGCATTTCTATCGTCCTTCCCGATTGCACACCCCATAGAAGTCTCGTTTGTCGATCAGTGTGGGGTCCCCCTCCAGCAGCTGATTGACCGCCGCATCATCGCCGTGAAGGACGGCATCGAAGATGTCACTCTGACACACAATCAGCACAAGAGCAGCGGTCCATTGACGTGTGGAGTTCAGCTGGTGTCGCCCTTACGTATTCACTGAGGTGCGTCAGAGGTTGCGGGAGTATTTGCTGAGCGTGGTGGAGGACGTTGTGCGCAAGGAGGGCGAGGTTGTTGGCGGCCGCTGTGGTGCGGTTGAAGGCATCGATGGCCTCCTGGTAGCGGTCAAGCTGCTCCTGCAGCTGCACGAGGGACAGTTCGGCAGACGTCCCTGCATTGCAACAGTGCAGCCCCCCCACACACACGCACATATGAACGCATGGCGCACGTATTTCTCGTCGATGGGCGCACATTGACGCACCGGCAGATCGAGAATGAATGAACGCATGCAGACCAAATGCAGCATTGCAGGCATGCCTGCAGGCCAGTGGGCCAGGAGGTCTTACTCTGCTCATGGGCGCCATTGGCGGTGACGAGGAGTTCTACGAGGATGCACAGTGCGACCAGAAGAAACGTCTTGTGCGCCGCCATTCTCACGGGAAGACACAGAGGTTCACACACCTGGGGGCGCCCCCGCAACAAGCTCGCGCAGTTCCCAGCGATTTGTGATTATCGAGGCATCGTCCAGCGTGTTTGCAAAAAAAGACTGACCGTCGAGTGCAGCAGCACCGTCATCCCGGGTCCGCCCGACTCGCATCGCATTCCATCGCATCGTTTCCCTCTCTCTTTCTTCGCATCGTTCTCCCGCCTTTGCAGCGCCGCAGAGCGCTGTCGTCGTGTGGGGTCTGTGCGACCCTCCCGCTCCGCAGTGCAACGACTGTGGACACCCCCCTCTCCTTCCCATTTTGCCTTTCTTCCCCCGTTCGACTCAACTTGAGAGCCTTCCATCCTTTGCTCCATCCGGTGACCCCCTTGAGTCGCCTGTCGGTCTTCACTGTGCACTGAGTGAGCGTCTCCCGTACTGCAATGGGCGCCAAACAAAGCAACCCCGTCAGGCCCTCTGAAAAGGTCAGCTGAGTAGCCAGCCATGGGGGATGCACTGTGCGTGACTTCACTGTGTGGGTCGCATTTGTTCAGACGTGCTGCGGGTGCTTTCTGTCGCGTCACGAGTCCGACACCGACACCGAAATGAAATTCACTCCACACGGTGAGCGGCACACAATGCAACTAAGTGCATGATGCCCCCTCTGTCGTCTGTCTGTGTGCTGCAGGCGCCCCAGTGGGGTATTGGCCGCACCACGAGGCGTCTGCCCCCACGATGATGCCGTATGGACCTCCCGGCATGCAGAATGGTATGCGTGAATGAGTCGGGAGGGAGTCGTGCTGCTGTGTCCACTGGGCTCGTGTGTGTGTGTCTCCCTTAGGTCCTGGTGTGATGATGGTGCCGCCCGCCGGCCCATTGCCCCGCCCGCCATGTGCATTCGACACACACGACAGTACACACCCGACGCACACACAGAGACACTGAGACACACAGCGACCGATCCTGATACGATGTGCAGCCACCAGGGCTCCGATCACGGCAGCTGTGCACAACCAACACATAATCGGACAGCCGACGGCCCCACAGACGACACAAAGTGAGGAAGACAGACCGTCACTGTGTGTCATGGCGTCCATTTATTTGTGTGTGTGCAGTCGACTTGCGCCCCCGGATGCGTGTGTTGTCGGTCGGCGGGGATTCCCTCGAGGAAAGTCTGCTGTTTGCCCTGACGAAGGAAGACAGTCAGTGAGGGGGAGAGAGAGAGGCCACACACACATGACATCCATCCATCCACTAGTGTTGGCATTATGTCTCTCTGTGTGTGTGGCTTCACTTACAGAGATGGCTGAGCTGACACGAGAAGTCAACGAGCACGTCCTGAACAGACCGCTGCCCACAGAGGTAGGCTGACACACACAGAGAGAGACACACAAGTGGCAGTGTGTAACGGGTGAAAGGCGTGGCTG